ACTTGATCATGTAGACGGTGAAGTCGGGGTTCATCCGCGGGGTGTACTGGAGCGGGCAGGGGATGGCCAAGCTCTTGCAGTTCTGGCTGATCCAGCTGCGCTCCCAGTGCTCGCGGAAGGCCTGCTCGTAGAAGTAGCAGGCGATGACGATGGTGGCCGGGACGGTGTAGAGCACGCTGAAGACCCCGATGCGCACCATCAGGCGCTCCAGCTTCTCCGTCTTGGTGCCTCCGTGCTTCATGATGGTCCGGATGCGGAAGAGGGAGACGAAGCCCGCCAGCAGGAAGGAGGTGCCGATGAAGAGGTAGACGAAGAGCGGCGCCAGCACGAAGCCGCGCAGGGGGTCGATGTTGTTGAGGCCCACGAAGCACACGCCGCTGAGCAGGTCGCCGTCAATCTGCCCCATGGCCAGGATGGTGATGGTCTTGACGGCCGGCACGGCCCAGGCGGCCAAGTGGAAGTACTGAGAGTTGGCCTCGATGGCCTCGTGGCCCCACTTCATGCCAGCCGCCAGGAACCAGGTGAGGGAGAGGATGACCCACCAGATGGAGCTGGCCATGCTGAAGAAGTAGAGCATCATGAAGAGGATGGTGCAGCCTTCCTTCTTGGTGCCCTGCACCACCGTGCGGTAGCCGTCATCCTGGAAGCGCTCGTTGCACACCACCCGCTCCTCCAGCACGAAGCCGGCGATGTACGCCACGGACACCATGGTGTAGCAGCCCGAGAGGAAGATGATGGGCCTCTCCGGGTAGCGGAAGCGCTGCATGTCCACCAGGTAGGTGGTGACGGTGAAGAAGGTGGAGGCGCAGCACAGCACCGACCAGATGAGGATCCAGATGCGGGCGAAGCGGATCTCCTCCTGGTTGAAGAACATGTGCCCGTCGGGCTTGGCCGGCTCGCAGGGCGCTGCACAGTCCTTCTCGCCCAGGAACTTGTAGTTGAGGTAGCTGGGCACCTTGAGCACGCGCGGGCAGTGGAAGGGGTGCTCCAGGGTGGCGTAGCGGGGGTGGCCCGCCGTGCCTTGGCCGGCAATCGGGGTGGCGCTGGTGAGCAGCGCGGGCGAGCCGCCTTCCTCCGAGTGGTTCTGCCCCACGCAGATCTGCTCCGCGCCGTGGCGGGGGAAGTTCTCGCAGCGCAGCCGCTCGGGCCACTGGAAGCCGAACTTGTTCATGAGCGCCTCGCAGCCCTGGCGCGCCCGCTCGCAGATGGAGCGGCACGGCGGGATGGCCTGCTCCAGGACGGTGCAGACGGGCGCGTACATGGAGCACAGGAAGAACTTGAGCTCCGGCGAGCACTGCACCTTCACCAGCGGGTAGAACTGGTGCACCTCCAAACCAGCGTCCTCTTGGCTCGTGTGCCCCAGCAAGTTGGGCATGATCGTCTGGTTGTAGGCAATGTCGGTGCACAGGGGGATGGAGATCGGCTGGCAGAAGCCGTGGTCGGGGATCGAAATGCCCTTCTCCCCATGGAACTGGGCCCGGCAGGAGCCCAGCAGCAGCAGCAGCAACAGCGGCGGCGCCAGGCAGCGAGCCAAGGACGCGTCGGCAAGGCGCATGGTGGCTCTCTCCCCCCCTCGGTTCTCACCGACACCCGATCGCCTCGTCTCCTCCCCAGGACGAGCTGGGATCTGTCACTCCCTCGGGGGACACGGGTCCTGGCAAAAGTTTCCGAGTTGGTTTTCTGCGGGGGGGGTGAAGAGGGGGGGATCCGCCTGGGAGATCCAGGGGAGCAACTCCACTCACCCAGCGGGAAACTTCCTTGCTGTGCGTCTCTCCGAGCGCCTTTCGCGTCCCTTTGTGTCTTCGCTCCCCAATTAGTCCGTTTCAAAGGAGGGCCCCCGGGCTGAGCTGCGCTTCGCCCAGCCTTCTCCTCTTTCTCCTCCCAACTTAATCAATTCCAGTCCGGCCCCCTCTCTTCCTTTTCCCCCTTCCCAGCGCCATCAAAGAGACCTTGGCTGCCTAAGCCCCTTCCCAAAATTTCCTCTCGCCCAATCAGATTCAAAATCAGGGACCAGCCCTCCTCCCCCCTCCCTCCCTTCCCAGGATTGGTCAATCGCGGAAGGGGGAAAAAATTAACGAGATCACGAATCAGATGCCAAAAACCTCTCTCTCCTCTCTCCACCTCCCCCCGCGCCTGCTCAGTCACGAGCCTGTGGCTGCTTTTAAGGAGAAATAATTTACCTTCGATGATGATTATTCACCTCCCGCCACAATTATAATTATTAGCAGGCAGATTATCTTGGTTGTGCGGGCGGCACAACTACTCCCCCCCCCCACTTTCCGATTCTTAATAGGCAAAGCGCAGAGCGCCGCCTCTCCCTTCTCTGCAAACAATTTCCAGTCAAAACACACAGAAAACTGCCGGAGTGAGTTGCATGTTTATCCCCACATCCTGTTGCCTCCTCTTCTTTCTCGCCAATCTCCCTGCGTCCAGTTCCACACACTTCCACACAAGAGATGGGGAAAAAGTTCATGAAAGTCCCTGCTTCCTGGGTACTGTATATCATTATTAACTTTTTTTTAAAAAATGGTTGAGACCCCCTCAAGCCAGCCATTTCACCCAGAAGTTGTGCCTGGTGTTTGGGAAGTTGGAGGCAATTAATGCTCTCTGCTGGTGCTCAGAGGCAGCCTTGTCTGTATTACAGTGGTACCTCAGGTTACAGACGCTTCAGGTTACAGACTCGGCTAACCCAGAAATAGGACCTCAGGTTAAGAACAGTTTCAGGTTAAGAACGGACCTCCAGAGCGAATTAAGCTCTTAACCCGATGTACCACTGTACTGTATTAGCTTATACATTGTTGCTCTATATATCACTAAGTTGGGAACAAGGTGTGGGAGTGAGCCCTTCAGTTTAGACCTGATGCATGACCTTGTTGGAAAGGAATATTCTCCCAACACAATGTCTGATTGTACTCAGTCTTGGGAGGGAGGTGGGGTTGCCTTCCCTTCTTGGGCTCAGAGCAAAATCTAGAGCAGCAATGGGGACCCCCGGGTCTTCCAGATGTTGCTTGAGGGCAGCTCCCATCAACGCTGATCATTTGTCACGTTGGCCTATGGGAGCTGGAGCATCAGCATGCGGAATGCCACCTGTGATTCTAGATGGTGGAAGGTGCCATGTTGCAGCCCACCCCCCCAAATCACATTGAAAAGATCTAGTGGTTGTATTTGGCTCATGTTTATCCTAGTTCAGGGGACCAAAAGACTTCCTCCCTTTCTCCCCAAAGACCTGGGACTTTTGGAAGTTATGCTTTTCCTCTATAAGTGTGGACCGACTCACTTGCTCAGATCATCTGATGGCATTTGCTCTGCAGTCCCCATTCTGATGGGCAATTGCTCTCCACTCCTGACACATGAAAGACTGATCTGGTTTTTGTGTGTAGTTTGGTGGGTGAGCCTGCTTTTAAGGCAGAGAGCTGAATTTTCTGGCATTGGAAGGGCTCTGAATCTACAGGAGCTTCCAGACTATCTGTTTATTAACCATTCATAGAATCGCAGAGTTGGAAGGGACCTCAAGGGTCATCTAGTCCAACCCCCTGCAACACAGGAATCATTCATCCTTTTTTTTTGCAGGGAGATTAGATAATATTAGTTATTTGACAGCGATTCATTATGGATCTGTTTGCAGGGGAGGTTAGAAGATGTCATGTCTAACCAAGCATTATCCCACAATTCCAGTACATTTTACCATCACTTCCCTTACTGCAGAAAATCCCAGATCTTTTTGGGAAGAGTCTGTTGCACAGGACCTCTCATTCAGTTTAAATGTGCGGTCTGAATTTTCCTGTATGCAATTGAATCCCACCCCGAAATAGTGACACACTGGAAGCACCCCATGAATTCCAAATATTACATTTGCAGAATAGCTGGACAGCAGCCCAATTCATAGCTAAGCTAAAGGACTTAGATGCAAACCAATTTAGCTTTGATGGAAATAAGTTAGATTATATTCAAGTACTTTGGCTTAATATGGACCCACAAGGGAAAATGTAGGGCCCCTCCAGATGACCTATTTGCTTGTACGAAAGCTTACGCGGAAGTTAGATTATATCTGGCCCTCAACAAATGCTTCCAGGGTGTTCCAGCATCTTCTGCATAGCCATTAGTTCATCCCATGCTTTTCAATGCATTTCCCCTTCACCTGTCAAACTGCAAAGTCCTTATGTTTTCTACAAGTGGATTTTCTGCACTAGAGCCAGAATGCTTTGAATTCATTTTAAATGCACAAGCCTACAGTTCTGGTGTGCCACTGAATCCCTCCCACAAAATACTGAGAGCCCCTCCAGACTGGTGTTGTTATTTGAGAGTGCATTCTGCAGCATATTAATGACACAATAATAGTACATTCATGCTGGATGTATAATGGACTGTTCACACGTTTCCCTTTATGAGCTGTTCTGTGGTGCTTCCGCAATGTTACAGCCTTATTGCCATCTGGAGGGGCATCCTTGTGCGATAAGTGGCACCAAGCAACAACACCCCACCCCGGAAGATTTGTTGTGTGAAGTTACAGGATTTCAACAGGAAGCTATGGTACATGCACTAATTGCAAATGAAGCAGTATGTCCACCCCAAATCTCCTCTGCATCCAGGAGTTGTAGGCCTGTGAGACAGTGTTCCAGGCATCCATGCAGTGGTCCATGCACATCAGAACACATTTCTGCACGGAGTTGTTGAGGGATCTTCCAGGTTTTCTAATGCACTTCAGGAAACATTTTCCCATCATCCTCTGCGGCAGCTCCTGCACATTGGCTACAGTAATCTTCACCTTGACCTGCTCCATTAGCACCCCGGGGTTCATCCGCCCCCAGACGAGAAGTCCCTGTTGTCCGACTCCATGCCCATCACAGCTCTGCCAGGAGGGGCATTGCTAATGAGAAGTTTCAGAGGACCCAAGACGTATGGGGATGAGCGAGCGAGTTACATCTCTGATCTCCAAAGCACATAGAGAACTGACATAATCTACGGATACAGCTATATAACGGATGATGGCTTAAGATGACACCATCTGAACCAATTAAGTATAAGTTCTCCCATCCTTGCAGCACTGTGACAGGAAATGGTATGCCTGCTGGTGGCATCATCATCATCATCATCATCTAGATTTCTTAACTGCCTTTCGCCATGAGGTCCCAGCGAGGCTTACAACAGTCTAAGAAACAGTAATAAAAACATATATCAGTTTTGTCTATGCCGACTCCTTAGAAGGAGAGGAAGTACAACGCCTAATTAAATCATGGGATTTGCTTCTCCAGGATGCTGGGAATAGCTTTTTAAACACAGATTAGACATCTTGACAGAGGGACGGTGAAAGCCAAGTGGAACCCACAATGGAGAGGAGGATCAACAGCTGTTAAGTCATGATCACTCAGAACAGAATTTCTATAGTCCAAGGCAGTATACCTTTGATTATCAGATCAGATAGGAACATAAGAGTCTGTCTTACACCTTCATCCATCTAACTTAGTCTTATCTACACTGATTGGCATCAGCTCTCCAGAAATCCAGAAAGGAGTCTTTCCCAGCTCTTTTTGTGGCACGTAGGGGTTGAACCTGTGCACTGCCATCAAGCGGCAGTCATTCCTTAATAGAAGTAACAGGGAAAGAGCTAGTGTGATGTTGGACTGGGACCCAGAAGATCAGAGTCTAAGTCCCCACCCAGCCATGAAGCTCACAGGGTGACCCTGGCCTGGAGCAGTCACAGTCTCTCAGCCTAGCCTACCTGAGCCTTCTTTTTTGTGAACATAAAATGAGGAAAGAGAAGAACTATGTAAACCACCTTGAGCGCCTTAGATGAAAGGGGGAGATAGATGTGTAATAAATAAATGAAAGATAGCATATATTGGCTGAGATGGTGCTTTGGTCTTTTCCAGCAAAGGAATCTTTCTGTTCTCTCTCTCTCTCTCTCTCTCTCTCTCTCTCTCTCACACACACACACACACACACACACCCCTACCTGGGGCACAACCGTAAATGACAGTGTATATGTTTGCAGTACTGGTGGGCCAAAAACAGGCAGCAAGGAAAGCAAAGGGAAAGACTTAAGGCTGTGTTTGCATTCCCATTTACTCTGCACCCATGGTGTTTCCACTGCTGGTTTGGGGAAGCAATGTACATACGACGGTAGCCGCCATCCATAGTTTCTTTTACTGCACTTTGATGTGTGTGTGTCCCCCATCCCCCAGCTTCGATTGGAATTGAGAAAAATAACGACCTAGCTGCCTTCTAAGCTGGTAATGTGTACACAGCGTAAGATGCAACAGTGAGAGCAGCAGCAAAGGGAGACACACCCACACCCCATTCCAAATATGCTGAGAGCACTCGCAAGCATTGCACAGCCAGACCGATGGTTACCCAGCGGAGTCCTCTACTCCCTCTTGGGGGAATGCAAAAGTCTACAGAAGGATTCTGTGCAGCTCCCAAATGTATTTTAAAGAGATCGGCTGGTCCAGTAACAATTATACAGAGATTTCCCCCACCCAAAGAGATAAAGATCCTCTTGAAAGTGTCTCTCCTCCCTCCCCCACCTAAGCTGAAAGCCTCCATCTTTCTGTGAGCTGGGAGACCTCTTAAAGGGACCCCTTTAATAGCTAGGTTGCTCCTTGTTTATAATTGCCCCTTTTCACGAACAAAGAAATGCATTATGCCCCCCTTTTCTTTAATGGCACCTCAAAGCAAGAACATTCTTTAACATGTTGTTGTGAGAGTTTGTTTGGGAGAGGGAGAAATTGAGGATTGGCGGAGGAGGTCTTAATTATGCAACATGTAGGGGCCATTCACAAGCAGATCTTAAAGCAAAGTTCATTACATTTTAATTGATTATAAGTGTATGTTGGGATCCTCCCATACTTATGGGATGTGCTGGGTGGGTGCAAATTTGATTTCTATGTCAGTTCTGGTAGGAAAGGAATGCTGGACTGGGGGGGGCGGGACACCATTTATTAAAACAACTGTTTGATACTTATTTTAAATCCTGCATCAAATTTACATGTTCTTGTATACGTTGGGATGAAGTGACACTGAAAAGGTGTGGAAGTCTTATTTTATTCTACTGAAATGCTTTAACTTTGTTTATTTTCACATTACAGAAAGATGGAATCATCAAGCAAGGCTGGCTGGTCATTAACTACATAATCTCCTTAAATTTTTCCTTAAGATAAACTTAAAGACACTGGTTTGGAACCAGAGTTAAGCTGCAGTCCACTTACCTGGGAATTCAAAAGTACTCATTTCTGAGCATCTGTGGTTAGGATTTCACTGCAAATAACTTGAATTTAGGGTGTCGTACACCACACCCCTTCATGGAACAGCAGGGCCATTGCTGCATCCATAGTCCTGGGGGTGGGCGAGACAATGAGAGGGGGCTAAGTCCATAGAGCTGTACTGCTGATAGGCAGATACTCAGACAACAGAAATACAATCGGTAGAGAGGGCTCTGTGTGATGTCATTTCCCCTGCATCTTCTAGAGGGAAAGGAGCATATAGTACTTCCTGTTCGTCTCTCTCTCTCTCCCTTTGACCAGTGTTGGTCAAACCCTCCCAAGTGTCCTATTTTCCAGGGACGTCCCTGATTTAGAGAAGCCATCCTGATTTCTGATTTGATCCCAGAATGTCCCACTTTTCCTTAGGATGTCCCTAGTTTCATTGGAGAAATGTCAGAGGGTATGGAGTTTTCCGACCCCTAAGCTATCTGAAGGCAATCCTGTATAAGGAAGTTTTTTTTAAAAAAATGTTAAATGTTTTGTTATGTTTTTATTTATGTTGGAAGCTACCCAGAGTGGCTGGGGCAATCCAGTAAGATATGTGGGGTATAAATAGTAAAATTATCGTTATGGAATGGGATGTCCCTATTTTCATCAGAGAAATGTTGGAGGGTATGCATGCCTGAAGCTGGTTATACTATAAATATAGATATTTTGCCTGCATAGTTTTTACTGCTGCCATTACTACGAACCAGTGTACGATTATAAGTAAATTATATTTTTTTAACTTACTTCCCAAGTTGTTCCCTGATTCTTTATTAGGCTGGGTAAGAAGGGGGAAGCCAGAGTACAGTGGTACCTCGGGTTACATACGCTTCAGGTTACAGACTCCGCTAACCCAGAAATAGTACCTTGGGTTAAGAACTTTGCTTCAGGATGAGAACAGAAATTGTGCTCCTGCGGCGCGGCAGCAGCAGCAGGAGGCCCCATTAGCTAAAGTGGTGCTTCAGGTTAATAACAGTTTCAGGTTAAGAACGGACCTTCGGAACGAATTAAGTACATAACCCAAGGTACCACTGTACTTTGTTAACTGGACTTGCTCAAAACAGAGTTTTGCAGCCTGATTCCTAGGGTTTTAATTTTGCTGACAAAGGATGGGATTTTAAAAACTGTTCAGCTCTCACACATGGGTACCTGGAGTAATAAAATGCAATTAAGGTATCCTCTCCTACCCATTGAAACCCATCCCACAATCATTGCAGTGAAGCTGGTCCCTAAGGATACCATAGCTCATCCTACTGAAAGCCACCAAGAGGTCAAGGAGAATTAAAGAGGGTCATACCCTCACTGCCCTACATTCCGACACAGGACAATCAATGGCCTAGTCATCTGCTACCTGACTCAATCTGTACATCACACATAAGAAGTGTCCTGCTGGATCAGGCCAAGGGCCCATTTGGTCCAGCACCCTGTTCTCACAGGGGCCAACCAGATGCCTACGGAAAGCAGGCAAGCAGAACATGGGTGCAACAGTGCAATTCACTCACCAGCGATTCCCAGTGACTGGCATCATAAAATACTGTGGTACCTCGGGTTAAGTACCGTATTTTTTGCTCTATAAGACTCACTTTTTCCCTCCTAGAAAGTAAGGGGAAATGCGTGTGCGTCTTATGGTGCAAATGCAGGCTGTGCAGCGATCCCAGAAGCCAGAACAGCAAGAGGGATTGCTGCTTTCACTGTGCAGCTATCCCTCTTGCTGTTCTGGCTTCTGAGATTCAGAATATTTTTTTTTCTTGTTTTTCTCCTCCAAAAACTAGGTGCGTCTTGTGGTCTGGTGCGTCTTATAGAGCGAAAAATACGGCACTTAATTCGTTCCGGAGGTCCTTTCTTAACTTGAAACTGTTCTTAACCTGAAGCACCACTTTAGCTAATGGGGTCTCCTGCTGCCGCCGGAGCACGATTTCTGTTCTCATCCTGAAGCAAAGTTCTTAACCTGAAGCACTATTTCTGGGTTAGCGGAGTGTGTAACCTGAAGCGTATGTAGCCTGAAGCGTATGTAACCTGAGGTACCACGGTACTGCCTCTGACAGTGGAGGGAGAATACAGCCGTCATGGCTAGCACCCATGGATAGCCTTAACCTCCACGAATTTGTCTAATCCTCTTTGAAAGCCACCCAAGATGGTGGCCATCACTGCCTTGTGGGGAGGCTACCTTTCTTTTGTGTGTGTGTGTGTGTGTGTGTTCGACTGCCACCACCCAAAAAATACTGTTTTTCCCTCCCCTTCTTGCTGCAAGGAATCTTTTCTCCCCACCCCCACCTTGCGCTTTTGGGGAATGTGGTATGTGTAACAGGACCAAGCCATCTGCCTTCCTGACACGAGGTGGCCTTTCTTTCTGAACAACTGACCCTAACCCTTTCTTCCCTTATCTCTCTCCCCTTCTCCGCTGCCAACTTAACCTCCTCCCTTCCCTCCTCCTCCCCCTCCTGCCATCTCCGCTTACCCTCAGCATCTTATCTCCTGGCCGTTGTAATTCTTCCTCTGTCATATTTCAAAACCCCTCTTAGCTCTCTCATGCCTGACCCGGGGCCTTTTATCTGGGGCCATTTTTCTCCCCGCAACTTGACCCTTTTTAAAAGCATAAAAAAGAATCCCTTCCCCTTTCTGCTATCTTCCTTCCCTCCCTCAGACATACTTTCCAAGTTTTCTCAGATAGGCAGCTCGGAGCTGGGCTTTCGTCCCTGGAGCAATTGACCCGGGGCCAGAATTCTCCTGGCTTCCTCAGATCCTATTGCCTGCTTTGTTTCAAGCTATTTGGAATCCCCCCCCCCCCCATGAAGGCAGGCCAGGGGCTTTCTGATGCCACATTTGAAGGCATATGATTTGTCTTCATCTATTGGACTGTTGGAAAATGCTTTGCTACTCTTGTATGAAACCATCACTGGTAAGCATAGCTTGCATGATTCTTTGGATCTTCCGAAATACTACATTTTAAGCTCAGTAAGGCATGTTCATGACTTATTATTTTCCTGGATTGACATGCCAGTAGTATTTTGCACATGTCCATTATTGCCCGCTTTAGGAACATAGGAAGCTGCCTTATGCTGAGCCACACAGACATTTGCTCCATCTAGCAATCTAGCTCAATATTAGCCACACTTACTGGCAGTAAGTGTGGGACGCCACAGGACGCAGGTGGCGCTGTGGGTTAAACCACAGAGCCTAGGACTTGCCGATCAGAAGGTTGGCGGTTCGAATCCCCGCAACGGGGTGAGCTCCCATTCCTCAGTCCCTGCTCCTGCCAACCTAGCAGTTCGAAAGCACGTCAAAGTGCAAGTAGATAAATAGGTACCGCTCTGGCGGGAAGGTAAACGGTGTTTCCGTGTGCTGCTCTGGTTCGCCAGAAGCGGCTTAGTCATGCTGGCCACATGACCTGGAAGCTGTACGCCGGCTCCCTCGGCCAGTAAAGCGAGATGAGCGCCGCAACCCCAGAGTCGGCCACGACTGGACCTAATGGTCAGGGTTCCCTTTACCTTACTGGCAGTAGCCCTGCAGGATTTCATACAGATGCTCTACTCCTGAGCTATGACCCTTCCCCAAACTTTCCTGACAGCATGGGGCTTCCCTTTTGCTTTTAGCTTGTATCTACAACCAAAGCTGTCCCCAGTGAGCTATGTGGCTGAGTGGGGCTTCAAACCCTTGGCTTTCAGGACCTAGCCCAACACTCTGACCAACACACCACGCTGCCATGATGTGCTCTGAGTAACTTTGGCCCAGTCACTCTTTCTGAGCTACTTCACCCCTGTCCCTCTCACAGATCTACAATCCTCAGTGAAGAGGGGTAAGTTGTCAAAGCATTATGGGAACTTTACATCTGTGACAGGGAAAGTGGTACCACAGTGTTTTAAATGTATGGTGTGAATGTGACCTAAGCTTCTAGCATTTGTAGAACCTGAGATATGAGGCAAAATGTATGGGCACGCTATTCTCTTCCATGTTTTCTTAGAAATTGTGCCCTCCCTTTGTTCTCTGTGTGTCTGCCTTTTTTTGTGTGCCTCAGTGGGTTTTTCTGGGTTGTTGGTTGGGGTCACTGGCTTGTTTGGGCAAGCTGTTTTTCAGCTTATCCAAACTTACCTTTTGCACCACTCTTCCCAGGTACAGTTCTGCGCTTAAAAGCTCTGTGTCTGAAACCAGGGGGTTTTTTTGCTCCAGAACCTTCCCCATGGAAAGCTGCTCTTTAGCACCCAATTGGAGCAACAACTCAGGTTTTCTGCTGATTGATAGTTGCTCTAATTGGATGCTAAATCGTGGGTTTTTTTGTGGGGAAAGCTCAGGAGCAAAAAAAAGGGGGGGCAAGCAGACATGGAGCTTTAAAGCATGGACCATGCCTGGAAAGAGCAGAGGAATGGTAAGGGGATAAGCCCTCTATCCCATCTGTGAAAGGGATACATGTTTTCTGGGTGCTTAATTCCTTTCCCATATCCCTCTATATTATTTTTGCACTAGGTTGTCGTCAGGCTTCTTTGCACTGGCTTTACCACATTTGCATAGAGGCCAACGTGGCCACCTCATTGGCTCTCAACCTGCATGCCTAGCTCCTCCTACCCTGTGTGCCTATTCAACTTGCGCATCGCCTTATTCTCAACTGTTGGGCAGGTGTGCGAGAATAATGCACGTGAGTTCACTACCTACTTTTAGACACACACCCTAGGGTGTACCTACTGGAAATGCTGGCTTTGTGTCTCGGCTTTCTTTCTTGAATGACCTGTTGAGAGGGTGAGAGTTCTGTGCCATGGTTTTTGTGGTTGCCTTTAAAACTGGAGACTCTTAAGCCCCAAAGTTCCCCATCTGTAAAATGGGTGAATGTCTGATGTCTTTTGAAGACTGTATATGTTCCATGTGCATATATGTGTGAGATACATATACCTGGCTTGTCTGCTGTATATGTGCTTTCATTTCTCTTGCGACATGAGTTGTAGCATGGATTGTGCTCTATAGTAGTCTGATATCACCAAGCAGTACCATCCAAATGCCTGAGGTCCCTGCTATAACTGCACACCTTAGAAAGATGAACAGTTTGCTATCCTTTCCACCCTTGATTCTATGATTGGGGTTTACCTAGTGACCTGCTGGGCTGTGTCCTCAGGCCCTGCCAATGTGCCA